AATCGAATTCTCAAGACTGTTAATGTGTTAATCAACCTATCCATCTACATATCCAAAGACATTAAAAAAAAAAGATTCAAAGTCAAAATCTGCAACAGAAAAAAAAAATCACACACACACACACACGCAACGGAACTCACCTCGTTCGAATGCGTGCGATTCTGGTGCTTGGCTCTGTCCGAAGCGTTGGAAAAGGCCTTCGTACACCCGGGGAATTCGCACATGTACGGTTTCTCCCCCGTGTGAGATCGCAGGTGGGTCTTGAGGTTCTCCAGGCGCGAGTAAGCCTTGTAGCAGCCCTCGAACTGCAGCGGAAGGGGAAAGCATTTTAGAGTAATGGTAATGATAATAATAATAATAATAATAATAATAATAATAATGATAATGATAATAATAATACTGATAATACTGATAATATTGATGATGATGATGATGATAATAATAATAATAACAATAATAATAATAATAATAATAATGATTATAATGATAATAATAATGATAATAATGATAATGATAATGATAATAATGATAATAATAATAATAATGATAATAATAATAATAATAATAATAATAATACAATAATGATAATAATGATAACAATAATAATAATGGTGATGATGATGCTTATGATGATGATAAGAGTAGAAGTTATAACAACAATTAAGATCATTAATACTACTACTAATAATAATAACACTAATGATAATGATCAATATAATAGTAATGCTAGTAGTAGTTGTGCTAGCAATATTAATACTTCTAATGACACAACATTAAGTACGATGAGAGGAAAATAACAAGACGTAAAACTTAGAGGAGGAGAAGAGGAAGACGAAGAGGTAGAGGAAAAGGGAGAGGGAGAGGAAGAAGGAAAAAAAACGGAAAAGAAAAAAATGAGAAGAATAAAGAGGAAAGGAAGGAATAAAATAAAATAAAAAGAAGTTGAAAATAAAACGAAAAAGAAAATAAAAATATAATACAACTAACAGGTAAAGAACAAGAGAAGAATGAGGAAAAGAAGAAGAAGAGAAAGTAAAGAAGAAAACGGATGAAAAAAGAGAGAGTGAAAAAGAAAACGAAACAAGAAAACAGACGAAGTAGAAAGGAAAAAAAAGAACACACAGAAAAATAAGAAGAAGGAAAGAAGAAGAAGAAAGAAAGAAAAAGGAAAAAAAGAAGAAGACTAAACAAAATAAGAAGACTAAATAAAAGAAAAATAATAAGAAAAAAAGTGAGAGAATGCTAGGCGATTAAAAAAAAAAATCCGACCAACTAATGACAAAGCAGCGCTGGTGATAATACCCAATGGTCATCGACGTAATAATAAAGGTAACAATGAGATTATCAACAGCTCTACCAATTACTTAGATTAAGGGGGAGGAGACCCAATCAGCGAGCGAAATGAGGAACGCCATTTGTAATTAGAAAGCGACATTTAAAAGCGGAGAATGTGGAGGGGAAAGACAAAGAGATAGATAAGAGAGAGAGAGAGGGAAAGGGAGAGGGAGAGGGAGTGGGAGGGGAGGGAGGGAATGAGAGAAAGAGAGAGAGAGAGAGATGAAAGAGAGAGAAAGAGAGAGAGAGAGAGAGAGAGAGAGAGAGAGAGAGAGAGAGAGAGAGAGAGAGAGAGAGTAGGAGAGGTAGAGGGAGGGGGAAGAGAGAGAGAGGGGGGGGGGAAGGCATGGGAAGCACAAGCAGGGAGAGGGAGGTAGCAGGGAGAGAGAGAAGGGGAAACCAAGCCAAGAGGAAGGGAAGCAGAGGAAGCAAGAGAGGATACAGGGGGAGGCAGGGGGGGGGGGGGAAGCAGGGGGATACAGGGGGGAGGGGGCAGGGGGACAGGACGAAGAGGTTCAAGACGCAATCAAGTGGTCCAGGGTCGCCACCGTAAGACATGCGTGATTTGTAGATTCATTAAGGGTAATTGGACAAGCCGATGACCCGCGGCCGGCGAGGGCTGTTCCGAGCCGAATGACAATTGGTTCGAACTCGGGTTTTTACAGCTTATAAAAGAGGGACGCGCTGTTTGCTGTGATTAGCCCTTGTTGCGAGTTGTGTTGGCAATTAGGCAGAGGTGTTGCATCTTAAGGAAGGAGAGCGAGAGGTAGAAAGGGGGAAGGGAAGGGGAGGGCAAGGGGAAAGGAAGGTAAAGGAGATAGGGAGGGGGAAGGGGAAGGGAGAGGAAAGGGGTAGGGAAGGTGAAAAAGGAGAGAGAAGGGAGAAGGAAGGGGAAGGGAAGGGGAAAGGAAAGGGAAGGTAAAAAGGAAGAGGAAGGGAAGGGAAGATAAAAGGGAAAGGGAAAGGAGGAGAGAGGAAGGAGGTTAAGGGTGGCTTCGGATGGACGGAAAGGTAATCAAATTAAACACGACAACCTGAGCCATCAAGCATGCTAAGTCCCACGCGCGCGCACGTCCGGGGAATATTTCAATTAGTCGTTAGACAGACAGACAGACACACAGGCAGATAAATAGATAGACAGACAGACAGAGAGACAGACAGATAA